ATTAATGGAGACTGAAAGCAGGATAAATGAAGGCAGCATATGACCTGTGCTTTAGGAAGTGTGAATGCATTCCGCACTGGAAAAGCAGAGACTCCATCTGAATGCTGATCCTGATAATGACACTGTGTTATGGAAAAAAAGGCTTTTATTTTTAGGAACTATACACTGAAATATTTAGGGGAAAATATTATGTCTTCAGATTTCAAACGGACCAGAGAACTGTGTGAGAAAGGGTGCAAACGGAACAAGATACCGACTTAACTCCAGGGAGCGGCGTGGAGGAACCCTAGTACTCTACTTTCTTTGCACTTTTCTGTGCATCTATAGTGATGTCAAAAACTTGAAAGAAAAACACTGTATGGATAGCCCTGTGGACTTTTTTTAAATAGAGAGAGATAGTAGAACACAGGTGTGATGAAGGGAAAGGGGAAAAATGGAGGGCAGCCCAGAGGGAGAGGGAGGGAGGAGGGATGGTAACACTAAGTGTGCTTGACAAAGCCATGGGGAGGTGTATTAGTTTATAAGCTTACTTAAAGTTACATACACGTGTGTACATGTGTGCATAACACCGTTTATCTATAAAACACACAGACAGGCAGTTTCAATGGAGTTACCTGACACAGGGTGATGATGTTCTCTGCAGGAGCCATTAGGTTATCTAACAAAAGCTCCAGTGCCAGGCAAGGGACACCGTCCATTGAGTTGCTGGTCAGGGGGTCCACGAGACCTCTAAATAACAGAGGCAATGGTTGATGAGGGAGGGGGAGTCAGTCTTCTCTAGGGATGAGCCCCCGACAGATTTCTTAATCCTAAATGGTTATCCTTAAACATCATATACATCCAGATAACACTAACTAGACTCAGTAGTGAGTGAGTGTGTGTGTGTGTGTGTGTGTGTGTGAGTGTGTGTGTGTGTGTCTAATAATTACAGAAGAAGTCATGCATTTGGAGGGGTTTGGGGGGCACGGGAAGAGTTGGAAGGGAAGACGGAGGGTGGAAATGATGCAAATACAGTGTCCTCATATAGGAAATTCTAGAAAAAAAAGCTAGTTAGAATATAATGCATGTCTTTGAAGCTCTGCATGCTTACCTACTTCTTAAACGCAGTATGTGCTTCCTCTTTCCACTATGTTTATCTTTCTTCTTTCTTTCCTTTGTTCTTCCAGTGCTGAGGACCCAGCCCCAGGGTCTCACATACACTCTGACACTGAGCCCCACCCATCTCTGGCTTTCAATACTTACTAGGTCAACAGAAGACAGGCTGTTCTCTAACCTTCTCACACTTTGCTCTTTAATGTATGATGCAGAGAATATCTGCTTTTTAAAAAGGGAGTGCACAGCACAGACGGTACGGTGGCCTGCTTTGCATTCTCTCTAAACTTGAGGTCATCAGTTGGACACATGGAAGTACCATGTCTTAAGGGGCTGATGATTTTGATCCCAAAGAGACTATGGGTTCCCTTTTACACCACCTGTTAGTCTACACTGCTGCTGGGAATGAACTAGCCCACATACTATGAACTGTACAGAAGTGTCTCAAAAACCTAAAACCAGATCTACCGTATGACCCAGCCACACCACTCCTGGGTGATTTTCCATCGCAGAGACTCTTGTACACCACCACACTGCAGCACTGTTCACAGTGGCTCAGTCGCAGAACCAACCTGATGTCTGAGCACAGAGAGATGGGACAGAGAACATTACATAGATGGACGAGAAAACATTCCGGCCACAAACAAGAATGAGGTCATGCTGATTGCAGGAAAAGGGAATTATATTGAGAGAACAAGCCAGTCTCAGAAAGACAAACATACTGTCTTTCATTTGGTTCCTAGATTTTTACATACTCATATAAAACCATTCATGTATACCTGCCAGGGAGAAATGAAGCTGTCCAGGGACACGAAAGGGTCTAATGGGAATGGGGAGGAGGGAGAAGGGAAGGTGCAGGAGAATACGTTCAACATAAAATACACATTTGTACGAAGATTTAAAAACCTACACAGTGGGCTGTGTGGCTCAGTGACAGAGTGCACGCCCCACACATGCTGGCCCTGGGTTCTAACCCTTGCATGGGTGGGAAGGAGGGAATAATTTTATCAACACCATTCCTATTTAAAATGGATTTGTCTAAGCACACGTTTCAAAGGTAACCTAAACTTGATGAGGGTGAGGACTCACATCTGCCTGTCTCACTCGTAGAGTTAAAGCACTGTGCTTGCACACAGTAGGCCCTCAATACTATGTAACTGTAGAGAACTGCCAACTCCCACCGAAAGCAAGGCATCCCAGGACCTGAATGTTCATTTTTGTCACTTGCTCTCATCATTTTCTTTGTTCCAAGACAGTATCCGGCTGAGCTTTCACAGTGGGATACTCCTGTGTTAAGCTTTTTTGTGTGGACCTCGGATTAAAAAAAAAAAAAAAAAAAATGGAATGAGACATTGTGTGTGTTGCCGTGGTTCAAAAATCACTTTTAAACATGAAGTGCTTTTGAAGTGGTCTTAACAACTCATTTTCCTTTGCCTTAGTAACACCTCTGTATGGGTCACAGAGCTTTGCAGAACATTGGCTGTATGTGAAAGGTAATATCTGAATTACCGGCATTATTCTACACTCTGCTGAAGGAATGCAGAAGATAAGATAATACCAATAAAACACAATGTTCCAATTTCTCTTATATGTATTTTCAAATAAAATGCCTAAGAAACAAAAAACTCAACAAAACACTGTATCAAGCATTTTGCTCCCTGGTCAAATAAAAGAGATTTAACTTTCTACAGTCTAGCATAATGCCTACCCACTGGTAAACTTTGGAGTTACTGGGAATTGTTCCTACTAGAAGGGAAGGGACTTCAGGACATTTTCTGGCTCTGTGATCTCCCCCATTCTTGTTTTCCTACTCCTCTGGAGACAAGGACTACTGGATGGGGCTGGAATCTAGCCACAGCTAGGCTCAGTCAGACCCGAGGAGGCAAGACCCAAAGCAACCATCCCAGGTCATTCTTCTGTAGAACCTGACTTAGAATGAACATGGAGAATAGAGAAAGAAAGGAAAGACAGAGATGCAGCACAAAGCCAGAGGTGAAGGGGACTGAGTTATGAAAACTACAGACTCAAATGCCACTGTTCAGTAAGGACGGGGTGGGGGTGGGGCCACACTAATTCACTGTCCAGTGTACACAGGACTAAACTAAACCTTGTAACAAGGATAGTTATGATAAACGCAGCCAGTGTTGACTGACTGCTAGCTGAACTAGGGACCGTGCTAAGCATGTGACAGACATCAGCTCAGTCTTCTCAACAGCTCTGTAGGAAGCACTGGTCCTCCCAGGCACACAGGCCTGAAAATCAACTGCCCGAGGCCACTTAGTAAGCTGGACAGATGGCACATAAGTAAGTTATTCTGAGTCATGGCCTCCTTTTTAAAATTTTATTTGGGTGGAGGCTAAGGTGGTCACATTCTGTGAAATTCTGGTTAAAATCCATGTAACCTTGCTGCTAGAATGAATATGTATGACATACAAACTCTGAAAGCTCAACAGAAGAGTCATCCTCGTAACTCTGTCAACAGCTGGAGAGAGGCAATGTCACCTGCAAGGCTGCGGGCTGGCACGCTGGCAGCCGGACCCAGGTCTTTGTCCCCAAATATCAACACAATCTTGATGGGGGGTTTTGGTTCATTCACCAGGAAAGTCCCAAAGGGTGATTGAGGGCAGAGAACCCAGTTGGCACCACTGTGGGAAGACATGCTGACTCCACGGATGAACTGAAGACTTTGGACTATGGATGGAGTGACGTCATTAAAACCTTCCCATCAGAAAGCATTCTCTGTCCAGATTTAGCACATTTGCACATTCTAAGTTGGCCACTCACAGAGACATCTATTTCCAGAGAATGTCAGTTACGATTGGCTACTAAACACTTGTCATTTGAAGTTAGAAGTGTTTCCTGATTGTACATCTCTATGACCCTGAACCCACCTCAAAGACTGACATTCTTGGGGTGATAAAAGCGGCCCAGTAGCTTGTGAAGATGGTCACCTTGGGATGATACCTGGTCCAGAGGAGGATGTTTTACCCTGTAGACCAATGGCTCTCACCCTTCCTAATGCTATGACCCTTTTAGTTTCTTAGGTTGTAGTGATCCCCCAATCATAAAATTATTTCATTGCTACTTTATAACTGTAATTTTGCTACTGTTATGAATGGTAATATAGATAATTGACACACAGAATATCCACCATTCAACCCCCCAGGGGGTCACGACCCACAGGTTGAGAACCATTGCTGTAGACACTCCTATGGGTTTTCTCCTGGGACGTATACTTGGTCATGGCCTCTAGGAAAGTTAGAGTCCAGTACAGCAGGTTTCAAAGTGTGGCCTGGTGACCTCTCCTGGGGGTGTGTCTGTGAATCAAATTTATTTCATAGTGACGACATGATGCCATCATGTACCTCACTTTTATGTGAGTGTGTAGAGGCTATGTGTGCGGTGACATCACGACAGACTGACAGCGGCTGAGCGGATTTAGCAGTTAGCTGTTAAGCTGCACAATAAAGATGCTTTTGAAAACATGAAATGATACCTACTCCCCCCGCCCCCAATTTTGTTCTTTAGTTTTGGAGCTGGCCACAAAACATAATACAGTGATTTATTATTTTAAAACTAATAAATTAACACATTTATACATTTTCCAGTTTTGTTTCCATTATAATACACACACACACACACACACACACACACACACACACACACACAGCTCACATAAAGCAAAGCTCTTTATGATTCCTGATGACCAAGTGCACATGGGTTCTAGAAGTGAGTGGCTTGGGGATCACATGGCTTGAATGTCCCTGGAGAGGGAAGACAGACTCCTTGCAAGTCTGAGCTTCCACTGGTTCCCAGGAGCCAGGCTCACATGGAGACCAGGGGCACCTCCCAGGTTGCTCACTTCAGTATGGCACACTGGCCCGTGGTTCCCTTCATCTGCAGCTCACCTTTACTCCCGTAGAGCTCCGGGGGCAGGTCATAGGGCACCGGAAAGGAGGCCGCTGGCTCACAGCTGCTGGAGAAGAATTTCTGCTTCACTTTGAAGGTATCCAGGCCCTGCAGAAACACAGAGGGAAGCTATGACTGAATCTTGTTTTCTAAAACAGCCGGAAGATCCTAAGAAGTAATTTACCTTTATGATACCCATAAGAATATTAAGAGATTTCAGAGCTAATTTCAACACTGGCTAGTCAAGGATGCTCTATAACCCCTCCCCCCAAATTATTTTCTTCTTTAAAGCTAAGAGAGGCTGCAGGTGAGAATGAAGTTGAAGCCCGTGAGTTTGACAAGGCGCACACACAGACGAAACAGGAAGAGCGATGATGGGTGGGAGCTGGCTTCTACCAAGTACCGCACGCAGCTGGCAGGGGATTTGCCGGACTCCCTGGGTGAAAACGTCCCAGAATACTTGACCTACCAAAATGGAAGGCTCGTTCTGAGACCTCTAGAACAGAGAGTTAATCTCCGCTCTGGGTCAAGGTGGAGGGCTGCTGGGCACGCTGCTTTTTCTCTCTCACAGGCCTGTGCAGCGCAGGTGTGTATCACATGACAGCTGCCTCTCAGGGGCTCTGGATCACCCGGGCACCCCGCTTTTTGGTCCGCTCCACTGTCCCTCACTCCTACCGTCTACCCACCCAAATACATCCACGTTCTAAACGCACAGCAAGCTGGGCTAATGTTCTAGAAGCCGGCGAAGGAAAAACAGCAGACTCTAGTACCCAGCAGGGGAGGGGGCAGTCACGGACACTGCGTGGGAAGGCGTGGTCGTCCCACAGTGGCTTCGGACACTCTTGAGTTCTAGCCTTTGTTCTGGCATTCACTAAGCCATGTGAATGACTGATAGAAGCGTTCATTCATTCCAAGTATTTCTCAAGCTGACGCCATGGCAGAGCTCCCAAGAGCGCATGGTAACTGCGCTGGTTACTTGCAACCTTGTATTTCTGCTTCCTTCCCCCTTCAGTGGGCTTCTTGGCATAACAGGACACTGAAAGGGAAGGTGCTGACCGCCCCCTCATCCAGGTGGACCGGGAATAAGGAGCATGCGCAGCACAACAAACAGCAGCACAGCTGTGAAACGATGACGTCATCGGGCCAGCCTCCCCGAAAGGAGAGCTAGGAGTGTATCCATCAGAACATGGGACACATGTTCAGAACACACGTGAACACACGTTAAGCTCTACCATACAGTCTGCCCTTTACCCTCTCCTTGGCAGCTCCCTTCCTCTGTGGGGTAGTCCAAGATCCCACGATCCTATATGAGCCAGCAGACCTTTGTCCTTGGGGAACTTGGGAACTTTTGGTTATGAGGCTGTCTAGGCCCTTTCTGTCTGGTGTGAGTCTGACTTGGAGTCCCTGTTGGGGACATCTATGGACCTGAGGTTGACAGACTGACAAGCTTCCCTTCCGGGTTAGGCAAGCTCTGGGTGTACGTGAATCAGCAGAGACAGCATCATTCCTGTCCTTACGGAATGCCCAGTGTGGGGGAGAGGTGCTCAACAGATACATCTGTGGAGAAGTCTAACAAATGACTGCAACTTGTGGTAAGTGCTGTGAGGAACAGCCGGGTACAGTACTGTAGGAAGAACAGTGGCCTGCTTTAGACGCAGTGGCGATGGCCAGCGGATGCCTCCCCGCAAAGGGTGATACTGTGATCTCACTGAAAGACGAATCAGGGGTGCAGGTAAGTGTGGCAAAGAATGACATTGCAGGTGGGGGACTGCATCTACAGAGGCCCAGAGTGGCTAAGGCCTGCCATGCTCTGGGAACCAGGAAAGAGGATCATTAAGTCTCAATGTCTTCACTTGTCAAAGGAGGTGGCCAATCTTCATATTAATGTTTGCCCTAGTTTGGTTTCTAGTTTCTGTAAAGACCATGACCAGTCAACTTGGAGAAGAAAGGGTGTATTTCATCTAACAGCTCCAGTTTATCCTGAGGTGAGTCAGGGCAGGAATTCAAGGCAGGAGCTGAAGTAGACACCATGAGTGAATGCTGCTCACTGGCTTGTTTCCCTTGGCTTCTTAGCCTGTTTTCTTGTACACCCCAGGACCACCTACCTAGGGGTTGTACCACCCACAGTGGGCTGGGCTCTACCCCATCAATCATTTATCAAGAAAATACCCCACAGACTTGCCTTCAGGCCAAATTGGGGGGGGGGGACATTTTCTCAGCTGAGGTTCCCTCTTCCTAGAGGACGCTAGCTTGTGCCAGGTTGACAACCAACCAACCCATGCAAGGTTTCCACCTTCAGTCCCCAGGACAAGTCCCGCTGCATGGTGGGTATGCAGGAAACACTGGGCTGCAGGCACAAAAGAGATTCAAGTGCCGGCCCCGCTTACTTTCATGGCTTCTGCACAACAGCAGCTGTGCTAACGCCTGGGCAAGTGTCTTCCGCACTGAAGAAGCAGAGAAGAGGGCTGGAGATGCATCTCAGTGGCACAGAACTTTCCTAACATGCACAGTGCCCTAGTGCAGGAACACAACACCCTACGGGCCCGCAGGCAGGCATGAGCAGTGGTCAAGATGCTGATTGACAGTGAAAGGCAGTGTGGGCCATAGGTTCTGCAGAAAAGCCGCACACAAAAGGGAGGATGACTCACTTCTGTGGCAGGCTAAGGAGAGGCTCTGTCGACAATGGTATTTCAGCTGGGGTTTGAAAACTTGGCACAGTTTTGACAAACAGCAAGGGCCGGGAAGAATAGCAGGGGAGAGAGCGATCCATTCAAGGGCAGGTTGGGAAAGCTTAGAGGAGGCACATTTCAGAGTGCTGAGTGCACCCATGAGTGTGTGTGTGTGTGTGTGTGTGTGTGTGTGTGTGTGTGAGTGTGTGTGTGTGTGTGTGAACATTTCTCTACATGAGGAAGGATGTGGACATCTGTGCTTTGTACCTGTTAAGCTGGGTATGCTATCTTGTTATTAGTGACTCAGGCATGAGTCAACCTGGAGGTGTTGGTGGAGATGGAGATGTCGGAGCCGTTAAGAGATGGCGTGAGCTCTTGACTTCAAGCCCTGCCTTGAAGCAAAGAACTCTCACCTTCTCTGCCTGCCTTGTTGCTTACACTTGTTTGAGTTGACTGCCCATCGCTCACACCCCAAAGGACTTCAGGGGTCCGGTTAGAGTCGAACTTTTTCATCAACTGACACAGAGGAGCTACAAAAGTTTTGAAGAAGACATCTTATTGGTGGGGTAGACATCTCATTGGTGGGGTAGACATCTCATTGGTGGGGTAGACATCTCATTGGTGGGGTAGACATCTCATTGGTGGGGTAGCTGGAACAGCTTGGGTAATGGACTGGACTGGCGTTTGCTCAGCCAGGTGATCATGAGTTCTCCCAACAGAAACAGGAAGTGGTCGTGGTAATGGGAGACACAGTATCAGAACTGCATTAGAATGACACAGGGCACAGGAACGGGCGGGTCTGTGATCCTCAGGGTGTGCCCTGTGACAGTGACTGGCTTGCATCGCTGTCCACAGCCCCGTCTTTGGGGTTTGTGGTCCTATGATCTTCCTACTAAGCAAATACTCGATCTCATATTTGCCACTGAGAACCAGAAAAATGGAAAATCTTGCAAGTGTAAGAGTCTTTAGCTCCTAGACTCATCATCATCTTTGGCAGCCATGAAGCCATGGGAGAGTCTTTACGGCCTTAACCCAGTTTTGATGCCCTACATCTTCCAAGCCTGGTTTCCCTCTTCTGATGTCTGACCTCAGACATAAGAATCTTTGAACCATCCATATCTGACAAGAACCAATATGCTTTTCTCTTGAATGCCATTTCTGATCCAAATTCTAGGGTATTAAAAAAAAAAAAAAAGAAAGTACCACTTTTCCCTTCAATCTGCATGTCAAATTATTTGAGGCTGTCTTCTAATTATCATTATTTATATATCACAGTGGTATTGCTTGGCATTTTACAAAACAGAGGAAGGCATCCTCCCAGGCATAGATACTTACGACAGTTAAGACAATGCGTTCATAAAACCCCAGGTGAGAGGGTGGACATGAATCACACATGACAAATTGCTGGCTCCCCCCACCACACCCCCAAGCCGGGAGAGTGAAAGCACTAGTTATTGCCGGGATCATTTAGGCTCAGCAGCTTGACTCAATCAGAAAGAAGTCTGCTCAGCTCCAAGTCGCAGATGTGGCTGATTTTGTTAGCAGCGCATGCTTGTGTAGCAACCGTGAGTATAAAACTACATGAGGCACCTTTTCTTTTTTAAAAGATAGGGCCTCACTGTGTAGTTAGTACTGGCTGACCTGTGGAATGTTTATGTAGACCTGGTTGGCCTTGAACTCACAGAGACCCAAGGTACTGGGTTTTCCTGGGTAAACTCCAGAAGGAGTAGGCCTACTTTATCAGGTGGGCTGATTGGTAAGGAAAGAAACCACAGAAAGGTGGTGGCCTGTTCCCCCACCCCCACCCCCCATCCCCAGATGCCTGCAGGAAGGGCTGGGGAAAGCCCGTGGAGTGGGCACAGCAACAGGGCTCTGGAGAGTAGGGGCTCTGGGGGCTAAAGGGCTGCCTGTGAGGAGAGGGGGAAGAGGAGGAGCGGTGCAACAGGATGGGGTTGTCATCAACACTGGGATCTGGCTGAAAACCTAGGGGCCTGGCCTCTGCTTTCACCTCTGTGCTGTGTGCTGCTCCCAATCCAGCAGCAGCCTTTGTGAGTCCTGAGGACCAGCCAGGCTTGTTTCAAACCCCTTGCAGGTCCAGGTTTTTAATTCTCACGTGACTCTGAATTTACTACTAGCCGGTCCCCACTGTAGGGCAGGCTCGTGTGAGTAAATAACGGGCTAGTCTAGCCTAGCTGACCAACAGGGTCCCGCTCAGATATCACTTCAAGTCCCTTCACCACGTGGCAGTTTGGCTCCTCAGATCTAGGTCCCTCAGTCTGCCAACTCAGTACCCTGGAGAGGTCTTTTCTTGGTTCTTGGGCATTTCTCAAATGCATGTTCTTCCAGTCTGTCTCCTTCCACATTATTTCAGTGGGAGTGACTGGTGTGGTAGAATTGAAGAGGTTATGAGAACTGCTACATGGAGCGCGTGCCCAGCTG